TCTACCGACTGAGCTAACCAGGCGCCCAACATAGTCTGTTATGTGACTTTACCTGTCTACACTATTCATATGACTACTTGATTATATATGAAATATTATTTAATCTTTATACATCTACAATCTACATTTTGGGGTAGCAGAACAGGCAAATACGACATTGATATTTTACCACCTTATAAAGTTGTTCTGGCTCATGTATTAGCAAAAATATAGTAATTTACACACAAAAGACATGCAACATTAGCATTAATTTGAGCTGTGTGTTTTGGCCATGAGATGAATGTAAATCTAATATTAACTCTTGCTCTGTTTTGGTCTCCAGTAAGAGAATCTCCTCTTTAGCTGTTAAATGCTCCACTATGTTGCTAGCTAGATGCTGACTTTATCTCTCTTTAGTTCTGGCCAGGTAGCCTAAAGTGAGTTTATTAAAGCTTTCAGTTAAAAACAGCTTAAACTGCTACGATAGAAAACAGGGTTGAGAGCTGAGAACTGAGGGTTTTTTTATTATTTAGCAAAAGGCTGTTAAATGTTGTATGCACTTTATAGTTGGGTAATAATTCTTTGTGGGTTCATTACTGGAAGCGATTACACATTTGATCTGTTTTTGTATATGAAAAATATTAATCAGTGTAGCTTTGAATATGTGGCATTTTGGAAATTACCTCTGCATCCCTCCAGCAGTCCTTGATGACGCTGGCCTGGCTTGAAAACACAGGGTGCAATACCAGACACCAGCCTGACAACAAAACCCTTTTGGACCTGTGCCTCCACTGGAGGAGAGAAACCTCCAGGGGAGGAAAACAGATCTGAAGCATCCAAGAATACCTCCACTGCTCCTCTGTGTCTGAGAATAGACCTCAGAGTCAATGATAACCTTTTTATATGTCTCACTGTGCCATGTTAATACATGTTTTAGTTTACATTTGTGATGCTGTTGTAGCTCTGAAGTAATACTTATTCCTAAATACACACACATCTATCTCATCCAATTACTGTGAGAGCAAGATATAGTTGACTGTAATGAATTATTCATAACTCGATAAAGATGCACCACAAAGGTTAGCGTGGTAATCTGGCGTCTGGTGCTCTGAATCGCTTTAAAAGATTATTTCTTGACTTCTGCCGACATCATTGCCCGCCATAATTATGTTGCATTTTGCGGGGGCAGAATTGGGCCACCAATCTGTGAGTCACTGTGAATACAGTTTAATTCTAGCCACCCTTGTGGCTGCGTGGAGTTTGACTTGGGTCTCATGAAACATTGAAACAAAGTGATTAAAGTAGTTTAGAGGAAAAGAAAAGAGATCTTCATGACTTGTTGCAGAGCTTGTTTACATCTCTATTTAATCTTACCCTGCAATAACCTTGACTCTTTTCCATGTCAAAGACAAAGACGCTGCAGGACTCAAACATTCACACATTTTTATTCCTAAGACAGACAGAAGAGCTCCTTTGGCAAATCCTCAGCGACACTTTGCAATGACAGTGAGGAGGAACGATGATAGGTAACGATAAATGTCTCTGCCGCTGAACGACAAGTGTGATAATGACAATGACAGCCTGCAAGAGAAATGTTCTCTTACATAAACTACTTAGCTTCATGATATTAATAAACTGTTTAAATCCAACAGCACCAGGCTGTCAATGCTTGAGCATTTTAGCTGATACAAAGGGGTGAAAACTGATGTGAGAAGCTAAAAGAACACTTTCCTTTAACTCATGCAAGCACCGAGAGCTGCGCTTTCCCCTGTCCTCAACTTCCAAGTTCATATTCTCCTTTCTGTTAATCCCTCACTGAGAGCGGGGATTATATAACACAATAATTTGAGAGAAGCTGTTTTTGCATTATTTCTACTTAACATTTAAAAAGGAGCAGGCGACATGCAGCTGCTACAGCAATGAATGTGGGCCACATGTAAGTCAAGAGGCTCCTACAGCGGCAACGTCAGGAAATCAGTCGTGGACTTTTGAAGTAGCTCATCAGGGTGATCACCACCAGCAAGTCTTGCCTGAGTCATTATTTGGGTAATTTGAAGAGTAAAGATAGAGACATATAGTTGGTAAGAATGAAATTAACACAAAGGTAAATGAACCATATTTAAATATATTTAAGAATATTTCATCTGAAACCTTAACTCAGAAGATTAGACCAGTATTTGCTTTAATGATTACTAGTTTTACTGTTCTGGCAGTTTCGTAGATTCCAAAACTTTAATAGTTTTACATTTTGGATAGTTTTTCATGATATTTGATTTATTTTTATTGTCCAGAGGAAATCACAGGAAGGTAGCGTCCTCTTCCACTGTAGAATAGACAATCCATTTCTCCCATTTTCTAAAGTTTGCTCTCCATCATCCTTTCCATTACAAAGATTCCTTTAACAATGTCCATCCACGGCTTCAGGTTTGGAGGCTCAGGTTTAAAAAAAGCAACAAACAATATTTTCAACAGATACCATTATGTTTTAATAATCACATGAGGATCATTTTCACAGTGCGTTCGGACCTTTATTTAAACGTGAAGGAAAAACTTAAGCATATTTCCAAAAAATGTTATTCAATTCCTTAAACCCCGACTAATCTGTCTCGTAAATGATTCACTCACCTGCTCTGGCTTTTTTTTCTGGTGCAGGATTTTGCATTTTCCATTTAAAGTAGCCTAAGGATTGTGCTTTTAATTTCCAATAAAGAATAAATGTTTTACGACTCAAATTGTCTTTCCAGCAGAATGCAAAGATGGAAAAAGTAAACAAATGAACACCTTTGGCCTGCAGCCGTGTACCCATGCATAAAGGTGGTTTTAATGATTATATAAGCCCCGATAATCACCTCTTCTCTGCAGCTCCACACCAGCTCCTTCGCAGGCAGACGTCAATTTACTCAGCAGCAGGATTGGACAGTAGAGGTATAATGATACTGAACTGTGTGTAGACATGCGAGCGGTGGTTCTAGAGAGCTTTCCAACATCTGAAGTGCTGATGTTTGTGACAGTGAAAAGCCACTTAAAAATTCATCATAGAACCGATTCACAGTACAGTGAGTGTGATGCTACAGTAATTGCTTCTCAGGGGGCACAGATGTGTGTGTGTGTGTGTGTGTGTATACAAGCAGATGGACTTTGCTAAAGAGCAAAGGCTCATATGCTCAGAGATTAACTTTAATAAGACTCCACTCAGTAGAACCTGTTTATGTTAATCTCCTCTCAATAAAAAGAGTGAGAGAAAGTAATGGGAGGAGAGGGAGAGATGAGAAAGAGAAGAGAAATACTTTGATTGTAAGTTTGACCTAGTTGCAGAAACTCTGACCAGACATAAAAAAAAGCATGAGAGGAAACTCAAACAGAAGCCTTTAACATATGAACATTATGTCAGCAGGAATGGAGTAAGCAACAAATAAAAGAGGGACGCCTCCACAGAATAACCTTGACCTAGGTTTGAAGACTCTCTTTTCAGTAAAGTCTGACATTTAACGACATGGAATTGTTGTATTTGAACGCTGTTCACCTATTTATTAATTTTTTATTTAGCTATTTCTTTGGAAGTGTTGCTGGCCTGAACCTACGTCTTTGGATCGCCGGTGATGCAACTGCTTTTCAGCATAGCAGCGTTATTACACTGCTGTTCTTCTGCAGCAGTCAATATTAATCATAAAAAAGCAATGACTCGTGCTAATATGGACAACAGGAAAATGAACCACTGACCACAGCAGTAACAGTTCCCCTTTATAACGTCTGTGGTGTAAAAAGGAGAACACATTTTATCACAGTGCCGGACTACAGCAACGTCAGGATTTTATATCAAAATGAGCTTCATCTGTACCTCAAATTAAATACATTCAAACTATGAATGAACATCACAAGTGTGTCAGTGGGTGAGCTGGAGCATAATTAAAATGTTCCTAGAGTATGTGTGTCATGCACATCCCCAACGCACACTCTCATGTTATTCGAGAGAGATCCGCTATTTTGAATCAAACCTGTAGGCACAGAGAAAATGAGGTCAGAGGCAAAACAACGTCGCTGCAGGAATCCAACATTTCAACATGGTGACATTTTCTGTGTGGACACAAAACAAGATGACGGGTGCAAGAAGAGCACCTCGAAATGTCACAGGAGGCACAGACACACACAACAAATCAGCCCACTGAGTGTCTGTGGGTCTGATAAGTTGGGATGTGAGTTTGACCACTGTCAGGCCTTCACACAGAGGCTCCCAATACTGGAAATGTACACACTAATGACACTTTTGATCCTGGATATGCACTCCCCCCCCTTTTCCCGTTGTTTACACGCTCTCTATCTTACAGACCCCTTTTCTAAAATGCCACAGTAATAAAAAGGTCATAAGTTTACTCTTTCATAATACAGGAGCATAATTAGAGCTGTGTAGCTGCTCACTGGCTAGCTGCTGCAGATGAAAAAAAAAAGCATCTGTGAATATAAACAGATGTTAGTGTTTAGTTCAGTCTCAGGCAGAACAGGTTGCCAGTGTTCATAAAAGAGTGTGTGTGAATTATTAATGATGAGAAACTGTAATCAGCCTCCAGGTCTCTGCAATAAACCTCAAATGAATGTAATGAGTCATAAATCACTTTATACATTTAAAAACACCAGAACTGTTTCATTACAACACATCACTGTCTTGATTAAACTGAATGCGACATCAGTTTCCCCACAGTTAGTCACAATAAGACGGGAGACTTTGGTTTCAAAATAAAAGTATGGAATATTTAAGTATATACAACATGAAATATAACTGAACTACTGCATCATCTGTCCATGTATTTTATGTATATACATCAGAGGGCGCTTTAGAAACGTTGTTCATAAATGCTCCTTCTGTATTTTGTCCAAACGCAGCTTTAAAAACCACACAATACGGCGCGTGTTCGTCGCTGAACATGTAGGTCCAAAACGATTTTACTCTGAAAGCACAGGCGGAAACGTAACGTTGATGAGCTGTGTGTAATGACGGTGGTACATTGACCCAGTTTCAGCAAACAGCAGTGGTTTGGTTTGAATGAGCGGCGCGGGGAGCGCGTGGAGGAGCGGCGGTCTCTCGTGCCAAGGACGCGCGCACTCACACCGCGCGCAGCACAATGCTGGAAACCAAGTTTTTATCCACGCAATGAATCCTGCCAACGAAACCAGAGCCGAGAGAAGCGCAGAACATTATATTTTTGCTGTTGGCACCTACAAACTTCTCGCGTTCACCATCGGGACCATTGGAGTATTCGGCTTCTGCAATAACGCGGTTGTCATCATACTCTACTGCAAATTCAAGAGACTCCGGACGCCCACCAATCTGTTACTGGTCAACATAAGTTTGAGTGATTTTCTGGTTTCTGTCATCGGAATAAACTTTACGTTTGCTTCGTGCGTCAAAGGCGGATGGACTTGGAGCCAGGCGACATGCATCTGGGACGGATTCAGCAACAGCTTATTTGGTGAGAGATTTAAAGTAAAAAGAAGAGGAAACAGTTTGTTTATAGTATTTGTTTTACATATTATTAATGTTGTCACATAAACTTTTTATTTAAATAGTTCAGCATGAGTGTTTTAAACTGTCTTCCCCATAATTATTTATTTTATTTATATATTAAAATCAGACTTAATCCACAGTATGAGCAGCCTAATGTAATATAAATATGTAGAAGAGGTGAGCTCATCCATTATATAGATTCCTTTATAACGCATGAAATTATTTTTATGAATTAATGTAAATAATCACTTTTTTCTCTTTGCTCTTGTGCACATTTGCTCAGAATGTGTGGATGCTTAAACTATGTCATTAACAGTTTACTGACCCTTTTGTCTCCCCTCTGATGAGCTGCAGTAAAATCTAACGACCTTGGATCCCTTCTAATTACATACTATCTTCCTGTTTATGTAAAGTGAGCATATTCTGCACACCCCTGCTGCATGCGGAGGAATCTTTATGTCTTCAGCGTCCATTTTACTGTGACATGATTCCCTATTTATTAGCAGCACATCTGTGTTCAGCAGTGAAGTGTGAATGGACACTCAGGGTCATTCTTCAGGTCCCACCCCTGTAGGAATTACAGCTGAGGAGGATGGATGTGTGATAACGAGCTCATTAAAGCGGCCCCTCAAGGTGTTTCAGTAAACCAAACACTGAGATGGCAGTGGACAGTTTGCCCTCTTCTTCTGGCATCTTTTTGTCCTTTAATTGACATTGGCTTCTTTGCCTGCCTCTGTCATCTGCTCTGCAAATATGTCACAAATGAGGATTTCAAATCAAAAAGTGTGCAGTGGTACATGGAGAGGTTGGTATGCTCTTAATTTATACCCAAATATATACAGCCAAGAATAAAAACACCCTGTGTTATAAACAGTGACATCTAAGGCTATTATTGCATATTTAGTTCACCCAAAAATGGTACATTAGCATCAGTGCATTGTCACTTAGCTTCTGCTGCTTGACTTCAGGGAGTTAAAGATCATTATGAAATTAACATTAGCCACAGAGGAGGTGCAGATTTTCTGATCACTAAGTGCCCACAGACGAGTGAGAAACTACGTAATTGTGCATTTTGAGTTAATTATTCCTTTCTCCTTACTCCATACACTCATGAAAATTGGACAGAGGGGATTTAGAAGTGGCTATACACAATGCACACTAAAACATAAGTGGGTATACTCCATATACTTGCATATACCCGGCACTTTACATCCATATTTATTATTTTAATCCAAGATATCTTTCATCATTAAAACGACATTGAGCAAAAAGGATGTCCTGCTTCTGCCTTGGCCCACACTCACTCAAACCTGGCAGATAATGGACATTTCAATTACAACCCCATCCTGAGAACTCACCTGCCCCCTCCCTCCAGTCATTCACAGCACAGCACAGCAACTGAAGATGTACTGTGTGACATTTTTACACGTGAAACGCCAAGGTCACGCAGTTGGCCATGAGTTTGGTATGAACATCACAAATCTGGAGAGCCTGGCTCCCATCGCGCAGATTTGGAAGTGTACAAAAATAAATCCCCCAGCTCTCTCTGTGTCCTCCAGTCCTCTGTACGCGAACATGCCGTCATCTTTTTTCCTTATCAAATGCCGTTACTCTGCGGAGGGTGGTGTCAGTGCGACCACACACACACACACACACACACACACACACACACACACACACACAGGCCACAGAGGCTGCAGCAAGAAGCCCTGGCAGTTCTGTCAATGCGTGTCCATCCTGCTGAAACTCTAGCTGGCTGGCTGTGGCTGGAGTGCACAACCTGAAACAACTCGCTGTATGGTGCGTTTGTTATTTATGTGTCTGTTCAGTGACACCTGTGTTACTCCCATTAAATCAGGAGATTAATGAAGTCCAAACAGGCATGAAGAGGGTATTGGAGTATGTAATTGGAAGGATTCATAGGTTATGTGATGTGTATTGACTAAAAGGATACGGAATCAATTTGAGATACCAGACCAGGACTCTGGATTACAGATAGAGCTGCACAATATGATGTTTTTACCATACCATACCATATAGCCCTAATTATAGATGTGCTCTTTGATTTAAATGCCATATAAAAGCAGGAACAAAATTATCCACAATGTAGGATGCATACACCATTAGTACCAAACCACTTCAGTTTGTGTGGAAAAAGCAGATGCAGGTCTTAGAGGTTCCTGTGAGTTTTCAAGGATTCACAACAAACTGCTTGAATGTGATGTTCAGAATTTAATCACAGTAAAGTAATTTCAGTGTGCCGTGGTTAATTGTTGCCCTCATCTGAGGTGGCCCTGCGACCTACCACGATCTGATTGCTACTACTGGCCGTGCACGAGGAAGTGTTTTTCTCATGTTCAGAAGTCTGTTTGTACAAATTATGATGAAACTCTTTAAGTCCCAAGTGACGCTGAATAGCCACTGACCCAGATCCTGCAGCGAGTGCTCTGCATTACTCAGCGTGGTTTGTTTGTCTCCCTCCATTGCCAGGCATCGTTTCCATCATGACTTTGGCTGCCCTGGCCTATGAGCGCTACATCCGGGTGGTCCATGCACAGGTGGTGGACTTCCCCTGGGCGTGGCGGGCCATCGGCCACATCTGGCTGTACTCCCTGGCCTGGACGGGGGCTCCTCTGCTCGGGTGGAACCGCTACACGCTGGAGATCCACCAGTTGGGCTGCTCCTTGGACTGGACGTCTAAGGATCCAAATGATGCCTCCTTCATCCTCTTCTTCCTCCTGGCCTGTTTCTTTGTGCCTGTGGGAATCATGATCTACTGCTACGGGAACATCCTCTATACAGTGCAAATGGTAAGTCATGCAGATGTGTTTATGTATTTATTATTATTATTATTATTATTATTATTATTATTATTATTAATATTTACTATTGCATCTCAGTGTCACACTTTACTTTCAGATCACACAACTAACTGACATTTCACATGCTTACAGTGCACACAACAGTCAGCCCCTCCAGCACCACTGACATCAACAGACATTTCATCTGCTTTCATTGTTTTTATTTAACCATTTAATTAAATCTCCATTGTGTATCATTGAGGAGGATCTAATGGCAGAAATGGAATATAATATTCATAACCATGGAATCCGCCATGTTAAACCACTGTGTTTCTACTGAAGCCCCAAAGGTCACGTTTTTGTGTATTTCATGGCCACCGCAGTTTCTCCATCAAGCATGTAAGGGAAGTGTGAAGCGAGGGAGTTGCGATCTGCAAGTAGATCCTACACACTGGATTTTTAACCAGGAAAGTCATTAAGTACAAATCCCATTTACAGCAGCCTGGCAAACTGTGTTGACTGTTCATCTGCTTTCAGTGGTTACACATCAGCTGACATTTCAAATGTGTGTATTTTTTTGCTCAACTGCTTTAAGCTTGTACAATTTGAGTGACGCTTTGCGGTTTTCACCTTCAAACAGCAACAACAAAAAACTGTTCTTATACAACCAACTGCTTTCAGTGCTACCACCTCAGCTGACACTTAAACAACACTAAAGACTCAGTTATAAAGACTCTTTTATAACTGTTATTTTTTAGCAGTGAGCACTTACAATTTCTTCAGAACATCTCGCCTTTTCTAAACAGAGATGTGAAATAAAGGATAAGATGTATGACTAATATACTCTGGACATTATTACTTTCAGTCAAAGTATGTACAAATACAGACTTTGCAGACTCTTCTGGATTTTTATTTTAATGAAAAGAATCTCCTTGACCCTCGCTGGCCGAGTGCCTTTCATTTCTCTTTCATTACAGGCTCCATTATCATAATATGCTTCTGCGGCTTCAGGGCTCGTCGTGTACTGTACTGTGGAAATCATCGGAGAGCTCATTGTTCCTTGTGCCTGTACTGAGCTATAGAAGTGCAGCCTTTGAGTGTCAACACATGTCATCAGACACAGGAGACAGTCTGGTAATATATGACATGTGTGGAGGCTGTCAGGATTAGAGTTAAGCATTCACAATAATGATTCCTGCAAAAAAAAAAAACGCTGGAGAAAGTGTGATAGAAATTTGGGAGCCACGAGATTCTCTAATCTGTTTGTGCCACTGAGCAGATGGCCACTCAAGTGTTTAAACAGGATAGTATGTAAGCAAACGTGTAAATTAGAAAACCACCATGCACTTCTAATCAAATGACCCAGATGTCTGTCTGCATCGCAGTTTGGTGCAGCTGCTATCATTCCTTCCTGCAGTATTCACAGCCTTGTAGGAAGTGTGAGCTACTGCTTCCTCTGAGCCCCGAGCTCGAGCACCACAAAACTCCTTGAACACCTCAGAGACCTGTGAGGACTCCTCACACGTCACAGCGTTTTGGGAGATGCTATGAAAATCTTCAAAGTGAAGTACACTGAACCCTAAAGAGTATTTTTGGCTTGATGTTAAAGCAGCAGACATCAGAAAACAGCAGAACAGTACAACATTAACATGGAAATAGATTGTAGCTTCATAAGAAATGTGGAACATAAATAAAAACAGACATTGTGCATTCATGAATAAAAATAGATGCTTGCAGTGATTCAATCCGCTGCTGTAGACTTGTCTTGAGGGAGTCTAGAAAATTGCCATATGCTCTATTGTCTCATCCCTTTAGCTGAAGGGTGTAATCTAATCTATAGTGTCAGTCACCCAGTCTATTATTGAAGTATTACAACGTTGAGCTTTAAACTATTTCTGAGATTATTGAAATAATGCTGTACAGTTCTCAAAAACACTTTACCCCCCAACCGACAGATAGCAGCGAACGTAAACCGAGGGCTATGATGTTACAGTGCCTGTGATGGATGACAGATCCCATTGTTCTGGTTGCTTAAAAAGTAAACCTTTACTCATATTTTATGCATATGGGGGGTTTTATTTATACTAAATTGCAGTGTATCACCTTGCTTTTTTTTGTATCGCAATATATCACAATATATTGAATCGTAACCCCCCTCATGATAGCGTCTTACTCTCTCCTGTTTCCTTTAGCTGCGCTCCATACAGGACCTCCAGACGGTTCAGATCATCAAAATCTTGCGGTACGAGAAGAAGGTCGCTGTTATGTTTTTCCTGATGATCTCCTGCTTCCTGATGTGTTGGACGCCGTACGCTGTTGTGTCCATGATGGAGGCCTTCGGCAGGAAGAGCATGGTCTCTCCCACAGTGGCCATCATCCCCTCGTTCTTTGCCAAGTCCAGCACAGCCTACAACCCCCTCATCTACGTGTTCATGAGCAGAAGGGTTTGTAGTCCTTAAGTGTTAAGTGTAGTCCTTGTGTTTTAAAGTGATCAAAGAAACTAGTATTTTATGACCATTTAAGGGAGCATATTACACAAAATTGTGAAGAATTTGATTTCCCAGATCTATTTCAAAATAAAAATAAAAATCTGCATCAAAATATAGTTCCTATGGGCGCCCGGTTAGCTCAGTGGGTAGAGCTGGCGACCCATGTGCCGAGGCTGAGTCCTTGCTGCAGCGGCACAGGGTTCGAATCCGACCTGCCCCCTTTCCTGTCTGTCTTCAGCTATCCTATCAAATAAAAGCCCCAAAAAAATAAATACTTTAAAAGAATATAGTTCCTATAAGTGTGTGTAGGAGTGGTATTGTCATTAACACTAGTCTTGCTGGCATCCTTAGAGGCTGATATCTTGTGTGTTTGTCAAATGAGTAAGGAAATTATGCCGTTTCATCCCTTCTATCTCTTCCCTCTGCTTGTCCTCCTACTCATCCTCTCACAGTTCAGGCGCTGTTTGCTGCAGCTGCTCTGTTCCCGCCTCTCTTGGCTGCAGCGCGGCCTCAAAGAGCGGCCCCTCGCCCCGGTCGAGCGCCCCATCCGACCGATCGTCATGTCCAGGGCCTGCAGCAGGAGGGACCGACCCAAGAAGAGGGTGACCTTCAGCTCCTCCTCCATCGTCTTCATCATCACCAGTGATGACTTCCGCCACCTGGATGTGTCCTCCAAGAGTGGAGATTCCTCGGGGGTTAATGTCATACAAGTGAGGCCACTGTGATCCACAAGGACTGGACTTATCACCCCACCACTCCGTATGCCTTAGAACTTAAAATGCAATTCCAAGCCAAAATAATCCCGTCTGACCTTTCTGGACATTTCTGCGTCCACGCACGATTACAGACTTGCTACAACTTATTGTAAATATCCAACTGTCAGCCCAAGATCTCAATTAAACAGTGTTTTGTCTAAGCAGGTAGTATGAAAGTGTGACATCCTCATCTAACATCAGCCGTGGTTATAGATGTAGTATTGTTTCTCTTGGAAAACGAATCACTATAATATCCCACTTATTATACGGTATGTGACGACTGCAGAGCTGTGTCCGGTATTCAGAGGCCAGTGGTTTTACTAATATGGATCAACATGTAGATTTTTTTGGTTGGTACCCAACTGCAAGTGTGTAAAACGTAAGATGGAAAGCCTTAGTTCCTTAGCCATGGACCATAATACACAAACATGACATTATTGTGTATGGATTCAATAAAGAGATCCTATTTTAAGCAACCTAGATTGTGTACCTTATCTCATTGCGATCTAACTCTCCGGTGTGACGGGAGCAGTCGCTGTGAAATGACATTTGGTGGATTTATATGTAGGAGGACTAGAGGAGTGTAATTAGATAAGAGGAGATGAGACTGGAACCTCAGTATGCTCCAGTGAGAAACTCCTTTCATAACCTCCTGGGCTGTCAGCTATGAATAGACTTGATGAATGGATTTCCATAGCTGATAAAACCCTTGTTCGGTGAGGATGTGTGAGTGAGTGAGTGAGTGAGTGAGTGAGTGAATGGTCTTTGTTTACTGTTTAGTTAAAAGAATAGTTTGACATTATGGAAAATCCATATTTTTTCCTATTTGTCAAGAGTGAGATGAGAAGATTGATACCACTCATATCTGTAAATATGAAGCTATAGCCATGATGGCTAGCCAAGCAGCTTTGCTGTGAAACAGAATCTGTTTAGAATTAAAGATTGAGACATTACTGGAAGATGCATGGACAACCCTAACCTTCAAAATCTGTGTGCTCAGTCCCTAATCGTAAAGGATGCAAACTGACATATGCATCTTGTTTGTTTAACCCACACAAAAACCACCGTAAACCCATAACTTTTTTATACGGATTAAAAAACTTATATAAACACGTTAATTGATTCCTTTTAGATATTTCTTTTACCTCTTTTACTAAAACGACAGAAACCATCTTTGGGAAAGATTTATTATGACCTATACTGCAGTCAGCGACCAGGGGGCGATGGAGATAGTTTGGCTTCACTTTTGGAGAGCTGTCATGTCATCATCTTTATATATGTTGATGCTTTAGACATTCAGGCTAGCTGTTTCCTTTTGTAATGCCAAACTAAGCTCACCACCTGCTGCCTGTTGCTTCATGCTGAAAGGACTGATATGAAAGTGGTTTCTGTCTTCTCATCTAACTCTCGGGAAGAAAGCAAAGAAGCGTATTTCCCAATATATCAAATACTGATTTAAAGCTACAATCAATATTTTTTAACAATTCAATTTATCAAATGTGACAATATGAAAGGTTGCTTGTACAGATGAACTTACAGAGAATTATCTGTAGCTCCCTTCACCTTCACCTCGTAGTTTCAGCCCATAGTTTAGCTGTCCAACTTTATTGTTTTGCAGCAAAAAATCTCTAAACACCCGTCGTACTCAGCACCAAATGGCAGAAAGATGCTTTTAGAGACTAGCTGATGAACATAGTAGAGCATTTAGCAGCTGTAGAGTCAGATGTCTCTCTCAGGAGTTGGTGGAGAACAAAACAGAGTTAAAATACACACACCTCCAAGTGAAGGCTAATGTGGCTTCATGTCTGTGAACTGTTAACAAGGTCAGCGACTTTAAGATGAACATCAGTCATTGTTGTTTTCCCAACTTGTTTCTGCTGTTCACATTATTGCAGCTATTGTCGTAGGAGTGGAGCCATAGACAGGAGACAGTAACTAAGCTGAGGGAATATTTATTCATGCATAAACTAATACAGGACGTACACTAGCCCCTGCCTGTGAGTTTAATACTGACATTTGTTTTCACATTACAAATTGTGCAAATGATGATGGCATGAAAATAATCTAATCTAAAGACTGAAAAAAAAATCTAATTTTAGTCAAACCATTATCGTTAAACACTGATGAAATGTTAGAAAACCTTATCATAAATCATTACGACTGGTATAAGTTAGGACAATCATTGATACAGTACATTAATGTGCCTGGCAGAGCCTTCATTGTGCTCATTAGAGGATTCAGTCAAGCTCTAATTAAAATGTGGACCCTGTGAGTTCATTCTAGTGTTTGATGCTGCGGTCTTTGGACCTGGTCTGTCAGATCAGAGACAGAGACAGTGCTCAGGGGGTTCTGAGAGCCGTAAGCCTGTCCCACATTTTCTCAGCAGGGATGATGAACTTGTTGATATCAGGAGGATTTTTAATGAGCAGGTAGGAACCTCCCAAAACAGCTCCTGTGGCACAGAACATCAGGCCTCGGTTTATCACCTGTGAAAAATACAAGAAAACTTTATTAGCTTGAATTCAGTTTTGTCAGTTTTATGTACACATGTGGGTAAAAGAGAGATCTTGAGGTCAGAGGTCAAAAGATCCCTTTGAAGATAGCCAGGCCAGGTTTTCCATCGCCAATGGATGCAGTAGGTCTTCTAGTTTCATACGATTCTGTTATCTGCCTCTGAAAAACGGGATAACAGGGTGCACTTGGTCCCCCCTCTGGACACGCCCCTGGTCTGGACCAAAGTGGTGGGCAGACTTTGTGGCGCAAAATCAGACTTAAGTAGTTGAATCATTAACATCAGGCTCATTTAACATAATTAATGTGTGATTATGTGTGGTTTTGTAACATAATAAAATCTGTATTGCTTATAATTGTCAGAGAACGTTTATAATGCCTTATACTCTTCCGACAGTACATACAGCTTTATACTTTTCACCTAGTTCAGTGGCCTCGTTGTTATCTTCGTCTTATAAACATCCTCCCTACACTCGGTTAAGAAACAGACCATCATGTCCTCTCTGTCTGTACATGTCAATATCACACTATTTTTTGTTTTTGTTCAGTGTTCTACTTTATAAAGCAGTTTTTTCTCCCTCACATAGAGGTCATTTTGCATTTTGCCCAGACATCCCTGTGGGTTTAAACATTTTACAGGAGTGGCTGTCAAATCCCCACTGTTTCTAAAAGGGGAAGTGTTTACCCAGAGAGAGTCACATCCGCCTTTCATGCTCAGCGCTCTTAGTACCCGAATTACAATACTAAAAGGTTCAAACACATCCCACAAAAAGTCAATTATATGCAGGGAGGATAAAATTAATGTGTAAAGAGGAGACATTTTTTTCTTTTGTCTTACTTTGTCTTGCCAGTGCCAGCGCTCCACAGCTTCATGGTACCTTGTCCTGGTGAAGGTGACCTGGAGACAGCGAAAGGCAACAATTGATGAGATTTTCTTGTTGACTAAGCAATGTGTCAATGATCATTTTGTCTAATGGGACACTTACCATAGTGTAAAGTGGAATTATTGTCCTTGGCATGACGAAGTGGAGGAAGTTATCAACATATTTTCTGAAAAGGAACCATCTGGAGTTGACATGGGCTCTCATCTACAAAACAAAAATGCGGTAGTGAAATGAACTAAATGGTCTCAGACTGCAGTAGTTGGGGGGGGGATTAAGATAAAACGAAGGGCTGTGGCCGAATTTAAGACCTGCAAGAACAAGGATAATGCTGAGACCCATTACTGGCTGTTTGACTGCATGAAGTTTAATGGACGGATGGGAGCTGTCCACTTGTTGTGATGGAGAGTAAATATCTGCAGATAATTGGATTTGGAAAAAAAAACAGAACACAAGCTGACTTTCTGTACTTTTACTCTTTACTGTACTTCTGTGGGATTTTGAGTTACTCTGACTTTGAATTTCCATTATATGATACTTCATACTTCTACTTTATGAGATTCCAGAGGGAAATATTGTTTTTTTACCCAATTAAATTCATTTATTTCACAGTTACATTGAGTGTTTACTTTTCGGATTAGAACTTTACATGTAAAAATGTGATCAGTTCATAGTTATCAATACACATAGAATAGTTGGGCGAGCATAACTGAGGAATATTTTTGTTACTTCTGCTCCCTGGGTTATGTTTTCTCTGTTTTATGATTTTCATTCACTTTTTTTTGTGTTTCTGTTCTGTTTTTCTCTTTCATTTTGTAATACTCTCCTCTTGTTTTAGCAACTTCACTTCCTGTTAAAAGGCATAAAAACCCTCCAAAAAACCTTCCTGTCTTTGTGTGTTTTCCCACCTGTGTGACCTCCGTCATTAATTTCACCTGTCCCTCATTATAGCCTCGTAGTATTTGTGTGTCCCTGTCTCAGTGCCTTCCTAGTGTTTTTTAATCTCTGCCTTGGTTTTCTTGGACCTTTCCCATTAAATGGACTTTGGATTTGCCAGCTCCCTGTTGGATTTGTTTGCCCCCATTAGACTGTTTATCTGGTTTTGACCTCTCTGACCATCCAGTCTTTTTGTACATTGACTTTGTCATTAAATTGTTTTACTGCACCAGTTCTGCCTCTGAGTCTGCATTTGGGTCCCATTCCTCGTGTTCTTGGACACCCTCTTTGCTCAACTGTGACAGTTCTGCCACAAAAACACACGTGAGAATTTTCTGAAGTGGTTGCGGGTGGGTGAATTTGGATGAAGCGTCTCCCCATTAAGAGAGACACTGAGCGCATTTACACACAAGGCACAGCAGTGTAACTTGATTATTTAAATCTCCCGACACGCCGACAGGATCAGTTAGGGTTTAATGTTAATTAATGTCCTACACATCCAAAAGGTCACACACAGGTTCATACAGTGAAACAGTTTGGAGTAAAGTTGCAGTACTACTGAAAGCAGCCTCTCTAATCATTAAGGTAAATACTTAAAACATTAAATAACACACAATAAAAAAATCACCTGGAGAGTTTGTGCTGCTTGATCTAATTTATAAGGCAATAGAGCCTACTGGGACTGGTAAAGGATCTTGGTCTCTAACCCGAATAATTTCTTCAGGTGGATAATTTATGCGTACATGCTGATTTTAAATGAACTCAGAGCCAATCTGCACGTCACTGTTGTGCACTGCAGCAAAAAAACAACAAAGAAAAAGGATATAATTTGGGTGAGAGGAAGGAGGTAAAAATGTAGCTGCTTGCTCGTACTGTGGTTTAGGAAAGACGGCAAGATTACAAATACTGAAAATCTGTTCTGATAGAAACTACTATTGTTCCCCTAAATGTGAATCAATGCAAGATAAGACTGCGTTCGGATATCGACTTCAGATGACAGCAGGAGTTTGATTTCTTGCTCTCATTGGCTGTAGCTCATTACATGGCTCCCAAATACGACAAGATATTTAAGCCGCCTGATCTGTCTTTTGGCCGTCTGCAAAGCATCGATAAGTTCTTGCATCTGTTCAATTCACACATAGCGCTCA